TCTCTTGCTATCTGTCAGGGAAACTGAGGCCCACCTGCCCAGGAAGTGAAACCTAAGTTTCTCTAACTCTCGAACCAGGATGCTCTGAGTTATTAAACTAAACTGTCCACCCCACTAATAAGCATTTACTCATTCCTTCATTCATTCAGCTGATATGTATCAAGGGCCTAAAATGAGCCAGGTGATGGCTCAGGAATGTAGTGAGGAGATGCCCCTGCCCTCAGGAACCTCATGTTCTGTCTCTCTGAGACAGCAGAGAGATCAGGCTTGGTCCTTGAAGCCAACAGGTTGTAGGATTTAGTCCATTCTACTCTATGAGCCTTGGACTTCATATCTGCAAAATGAAGCGACATATCTGCAAAATGAAGCGACCAGGTTTAGACAGATGGCTTCCAAACTGTATTGGGAATGTTTAAGAAAACATCTTCCTGGGCTCCTGTCTCCAGATACTTTGACTAAGTGGGTTCAGGGTGGGATCTAGGAATCTACATCTATAATGAGGGCTCAGGTTCCCCAAGAGCCACCTTTTGAGAGAGATTGATCTGCCTGTGAACCCCACTAGTGCCTACACAGGGTCTCTGTCATCACACCTGTGTCCTCAGGGCCTGGCACGCTGCCTTGCACAGAGTAGGTGTTGATAAACACGTGGGATAGTTGCAGTGATCTTCTTAATCTGCAGTATCTAGAAAGTCCCTGGATAGACCTCAGAGGTTCCTAAACCACCTGAAATCAACCACAGTCTTTGTTAAGGTTTGTGGCTAGGATTCTTTGGGCTCTGTATACTCTGATTTTAAGACTGAAACTAGTTTTCAACTCTACCAAAGGCTCAGACCTGTTATTTGGAAACCTTTTTCACCTGTAGAGTAAACTTTGAGTCCTGTATCTACATGATTTGCTGAGATGTCAGTTTACCAAGTTGATAAGTAGATTCTGAAAATCCTAAAGACGTCAATGTCCACAATTTATGTGTGAATTATGAGAGGTGCTCCTGATACAATGTTTGTGATTTTTCTCAGTTCATCTGAAAGGCCTTCTGGGCAGGTAGGGCCATCTCCATTTTCCAGGTGGAAACATTGAGCTCCCTGTGACCCCTGTAGCATGTGCGAAGCCACGCTGCAAGGGCTCTTTCTGCTAAAAACGAGCCTGGGAGTCAGAGGACATGGCCCTTATCCTCTGCTTTGAGGCCTTTATTGGGTATATTGGCCTGTTTGGGCTCAAGTTTCCCTATCTGTAAGATGGAGAGAGGTGGACTAGTTGTCTCTGAGGGTGCCCCCCCCCGCAGCCGTGTCAACAAGCTCCAAAGCCCTCTTGGTTTAGGGCAGATGTAAGGATTCAATAGACCACCTAGTTCATCTCTGGGGATCTTGGCACATCATTAGGCAAAGGCAGTGGAGGTCGGTATGAAACTCCCAGGATTCTGAAATCTTAATTCTCAGTGCTGTCAGGTCCGCAATCCAGTGTTTCATTTTGAGAACAAGATTCAAAGGGTTTACTTCTGTGAGGTCAAGACTATGAGATGCATCCCTGTTCCCCCTTCCCAGGAGTGCTGGAAGGCTGTCACAAGCAGGCAGAGGAAACAGTCCCTTCGTGGCATCTTAGACTCTTGAAATGTCCTTAAGGGTTGCCTAAGCCTGCTACTCAAAGTGTCTGGGGACCAGCAGCATCAGCACACCAGGGAGTTTGGTAGAAATGCAGAATCTCAGGCCCTACTTCAGACCTTCTGTACCGGAATCCGCATTAACGAGATCCCCGTGTGATTAAAATCTGAGAAGCGCTAATCCTAACCCTGAACTTGATTCCCCTCCTCCACATCCTGATGAACAATCTTCCTATGCCTCTAATGTCTTCCTATGCCTCTAATGTCTTCCTCCAAGTGGTCTTATTGCATCCTAGCACTAATCCAACTTGTGGAATTTCTTCTCTATCTTAGGCCCCTCTGTCATTCAGTAACCTCTACTACTGGCACTCACTCAAGTGTCGAGAGCTCAGAGAACAAGATAACTCTTCCTGTCTCCTAGTTCTCATCCTACACAGTTTCCAGTCTTCCCCATTCAGGATACACTTCTGTGTATCCTAGCATGTTGCAGACTCACAGGAGTCAGCAGGTAACACAAATGAGAAAGGCTGGTGAAATACAAGGAATGGCGGGGACTGTGGCAAACTGGAGCCATATGTTCCACCCAAACAAGGCAGCCTTTACTCAGCCCAGCTGAGGGGCTAAGGGAATTCAGCCCAAGTCCTGCCATATCTTTTGGGTTTTCAAGAGAGGCCAAAAACTTTGATAAAACAATGTGAGGCTGGGTGCAGTGGCTCGAGCCTGTAATCCCAGCACTTTGGGAGGCCGAGGTGAGAGGATTTCCTGAGCCTGTGGGTTTGAGACCAGCCCAGGCAACATGGTGAGCTCTCGTCTCTACAATAAATCAGAAAATTAGCCGGGCGTGGTAGTGCATGCCTGTAGTTCCGGCTACTTGGAAGGCTGAGGCGGAAGGACTGCCAGAGTCCAGTAGGTCGGGGCTACATTGGCTGGGAGCGTGCCACCGCTCTCCAGCCCGGGTAATGGAGTGAGAATCCAACTCAGAAAACAAAACCAAAAGTAAAAAAAAAAGTGAAATCTCCCTATTTGTAAAGCTAGAATTAAGAAAAACAAAACAATAATCACCTTGAAAGCCACCAGATTGTTTGCCAGCAACTACATTGGACCCACAGGCTTCAGGTTGTTACACTCTACAGTGATAAATGTCTGCTCAACTTGGTGCGACTCCCACAGAGCAGGCAGGATTAATGTCTCCCTTATGGTAGACCAGTGGTTCTCAAGCTTGGGCATGGATTGGAATCTCTTGGTGGGCTTGTTAAAACTCGAAGTGCTGGCCCCACCCCCAGACTTCCTGCTTTAGGAGGCCTAGGGTGGGCCCCGGGAATTTGCATGCCTAACCAGTCCCCAGGTGGTGCCGAATGTTGCTGTTTTAGGTAAGACAATTGGAGCACCCGGCTTTAGTGTTGTGCTTTCCATTAGGACAGCCTGTTTGTAGAGTCTCTTAGGCCCATCAGTAACCTAAAGCAATGAACAGGTTTCTGATCTGTGGGCACTGAAAGCTGGAAAAGAAATTGAGAGGGAGCGCTGGAGAAAGGAGAGCTAAGAAGCACTTGACTGATCAACCTGGACACCCTAGAAGCAGAATATTACCTTGGGCAGGTCCCTGACCTACCCCAAGTCTTGGTTTTTCTGTCTGTGTTTCATGGAAATGGCCCTAGCTCAGCTTTCAAATGTATTTGTTTGCTTGTTTGGGAGATTTGGTCGTCTGTTTGTGTTTAGCAGAATAACTTTTTTCAAATGAAGTTCCACAGAGGGTGGGGGCGGAGGAAGAAGCAGCAAGACCTGCCCTCAGCCTTTGTCTTCTGGGGCAGTGCCTGGGCGCCCCCTGGAGATCTGAGGCCCGAACTGATGAGATGCTTCTTTGGGCCTTCTAGCTCTGCTTCTGTGATTGCTAAGAGCCTGGGAACCACTGGCGGACACCACCACTGGCGGCCTTGGTTTTTGTAGTTTTCTTTCTCCCTCTGACCAAGACATCTAGCACACCAACTTCCAGAAGGATCTCCTTGCGATACTTTGGAGAGGTTTGTAGGAGAGAGAATGCCAAGGGTTATGATCACTAGAGCTGTTGTGAGGCTGTGGCGCTGTTGGGAGAGTCTGCTAAGACACGGAAGGACCTGCCAGAGGCTTCATCAGCAGGCGCTCCTGTCCGGCATGCCATGCACCAGGGCCTTCGTCGTCAGTTTCATAGTCAGTTACAAAGGAAGTGGGACTGTTGGATTCTGCCTGCCACGGTGGCAAGAACAGGCCTTTGCGATCTTTAATGGGCAAAGAGATTCCGAAAGCATTTTGGTGAACACAGAGGATATGCAGATAGCTGTGCATACAGTGTTACCTGGGAGGGCTCTGGTGTGGGGACTAAGCCTTTAGACCTTACTGTGGGCATGAAAGGTACTGGGCTCCTCTGTTGACCTCGACCCTTAACTGAGGCCTCCTTACCTAGGGGACCTGCTTCCTGATGGGCCTCCAAGATGGGCTCCCCTGTCCAGAGAGATGGTGACTCAGGGCCAGCAGCCAGGGGCTGCTCTCTTGTGGCTGCTGGATAGTCCTTCTCTCTTCCAGCCATTCGAGTGCTTGTTTATACCATCCACACCCACCTGCCACACGTTCACCTCTTTGAGATTGGGCCCTAGAGACCGTAGACAGGACCAGGACCCACCTTCTACTCCTGCTTCCCCTTGAGGTCAGGGTCCCACTGTCCAGACCTCGAGCCCACGGTCTGTGTCCAGGCTTTTGGCCCTGTTGCCTCTCACATGGACCTGTCTGCAGCCCAGCCCGCATGCCCTCATGTCCGTGAATGTTCTCTGTCTCTCCCCAGTGGAACTGAATTCCTGTCATGCAGTCTCTGGGCCCCTGCCCTGTCCACTGTGTAACTGCTAGCCACATGTGTCTGTTGAGGTAAATCAAGATGAACACAAGTCTCAAATACACCAAAGACAACACACCAAAAAAAAAATGTACCTCAGTAATTTTAACATCGATCGCGTATTCAAATGGTAATATTTTAGAGCGTGTATACTAGGTTAAATAAAATATATGATTAAAACTAGCTTCATCTGCTTTTTTTTAAGTGTGGATACTAGAAAACTTCAAGTTATGTCTGTGGCTCCCATTTGGCACACTTAGCACTTTCTCCCTTGGGTGAAAAGAATGTGGCCATCCTTTGTCTCCCCTGCTGGTTTGTGGGTTCCCACAGGGTGGACACTGTGAGGCTGTCACCTTGCTGACCTTGGCACACTTCGCTGGCACATGGCAGGAGCTCACTGAGGTATACTGAGGAAATGAAATAAATGAACAAATGCTGACATCCAGTCATTACCAGAAGCTCCCTTGGGCAGTGTGATTTCTGGGTCGGTGTTAAACTTATTTCCCTCTTTTTTTTCACTGTTTTTGTCTTTTCTTTTCTAAGGGCTCACAGAGTCGGCAGAAGAAGGCGTTTCTCTTGGGAGATGGGCAGAAGCTGAAGGACTGGCATGACAAGGAGGCCATCCGGAGGGATGCTCAGCGCGTGGGTACGGAGGGCAGCGTGTTCCTGGGTGGGTTCTGTGGAGGGCATGTGCACGTATGCAGGCATGTGTGTGTGCGCGCGTGTGTGTGTTTAGCAGGGGTGTCTGGACCTCCTGTCAGCTCCCCTGCATCCCCTCCCCTGTTCCTAGGCCCCCCTCTTCTCTTAATAGCTGAGACTTTTCTCCAACTCATCACCAGACCCACTGCCCGCAAGAACTTGCCTGTCATCTTTACTGGACGATGGAAAATGTCTCCCTATACAGAATATTTTACCACTAAAACCCACAGCAATCTTGACAAGAGACAACATTACTACACACCAATAGTGAGGATGGTCTGCTCACTGTCCTTGAACGTTTTCTCTGTGAAACCCCAAATCAGGCCGGGCTCGGTGGCTCAGCCTGTAATCCCAGCCCTTTGGGAAGCCGAGGCGAGTGGATTGCCTGAGCCCATGGGTTCGAGACCCACCCGGGGAACTTGGCAAGACCTCATCTCTACAATAAATCAAAAAATTAGCTGGGTGTGGTAGCACACGCCTGTAGTTCCAGCTACTTGGAAGGCTGAGGTAAAAGGATCGCCTGAGCCCAGCAGACCAGGGCTGCGGTGATTGTGAACTTGCTACTGCACTCCAGACTGGGCAACAGAGTGAGACTCCAACTCAAAAAAAACCAACCCAAATCAGCCTCTATGAGCCATGAACAGGAAGGGGCCTGTGGCTCTAAGTGGTGTAGCAGTTTGCCTACAGTCACACAGAGAGAAAGAGGCAGACTTGGGTTCTGAAGCCAGGTCTGGAGGGCACAGATCCCAACCCAGTCCTTCAGCCATGAGACTGAGTTAATTTAGTGGGCTTCAGCTGCAATTTTCCTTGGCTAATTAGTCTTGGGAGCAGTCCCTGTGACGCCGGAGAGTTGGGAAGATTTGGGAATGAGGTGATACAGAAGTCGTGTGGAGAAGCAGCTCTAGAGAGCCTGGAATAAAGCCAGGAGAGCGGCTCTGATGCTACTTGCCAGCTGTCTGGCCATGAGAGCAAGTCCATACTCCCTTCACCTCAGTTTTTCCATCTGTCAGTGAGGCTTGTGCTTCCTGCTTTAACAATCTCAGGATGTTGTAGGGTTACAAGTAAAGCCATGAGCATAAAGAAGCTTTGCAGTACTGGACAGCAATGTAGAAACATAAGGGATTGGAATTTCATTCATTTTTATCTATCTCCATTAAAGGCACTCACCACTATCAAAAAAATTTTTTTTAATTACATTATAGGTCAGGCACAGTGGCTCACGCTTATAATCCTAGCACTTTGGGAGGTCGAGGTGAGAGGATTGCCTGAGCCCATGGGTTCGAGACCAGCCTGGGCAACCTGGTGAGACCTCATCTCTACCATAAATCTAAAAAATAAAAATAACATTGTGACAAAACCAACTTGCCACAAAGCTCTGAACAGAGCTGATGGTCAGGGAAAGCTAAAGATGTGACATGCATTTTTCTGTATGCCAGTGATTTTAAATGGGGGGGGGGTGCTGCTAAAATTAAGAAAGAAAGCATTTGGAAAGAGCTGATTTGCCAGACAGCTATAAAAGAATTATGAGAACACGGTGGTAGCCAGCAGGAAGCGAGTAGCCAGCAGTGAAGACATCAAGAGTAATAATAACTAGCACATATTGAATGCCAACTGTGTGCCAGCCGTCTCACTCTGAATTGTCTCCTTAATCATCATATGGAAGCTTCTTGTTCCAATTAGGACAAAGGGGAAGAACTGAGGATTAGAGAGGCGAATGGCATGCCCAAGATGGCGTAGCTGGAGCCTGGCAGGGCCAGCCTTCAAATTCCGCTCTGTCCACTCCTGGGCCTGAACTGTGCTGTCCCCTGGGGCTTCCCTCCCTGCACAGATGCACCTGGCTTCCTTTTTATGCTTGCTGCATTGGGGTCCCTTGTGTAATCAGTCCTGGGCATTACTCAGCACTGTCTTGTCACAGAGCCTAGTGGTTAGAGGTGGTGGAGTCCTGCCTCTCATCGGACTGCACTGGAGCGGCCAAGCCCTTGGGTTCCTCCTCTGTTTGTTCCTTCCTGGCAAGTGCATGTTGGCCTCGTTTACTTTGCAAAGTAAACAGGTGTTTCTCAGACCACAAGCTCCGGGAGGTGAGGTGGTTTTTAGCCAGCTGGTTTTATTGCCAAAGAAGCAATAAGAGCCTCCCCCATGGCAGATTCTTGGGCTATTGCTGCAGGGGTTGGTGTGGACATTCCACTCACCAGATGCACCCTGGGCACCCAGAGGAACATTTCCTGGGACATCAGGGCCTCCTTCTCAGGTGGATTGTGCGAGAGAGGAAAGCCCCATCAGTGACGCAGAGGACTACTTTTCAGGCAATCCTGCTTAGAGGAGGCAGATTTTATTTTGCTGGTTTCAAAAAAAATCCAAGCATCTTTCATCACTTATGGCAATTTTGATTTACATATGAAGTTTGCCTTACTGAAAGAGTAATCATCTTTCCTCACATTTACATGGTGTTTTATAGTTTACAGAGAGCTTTCACCTAGGCAACCTCTCACTTGACTCTCCCAAACATGCTGTGGGTGTCACAGGAGGAGGGCTGCAGCTCACAGAGCCGGTGTGACTTGCCTGAGGTTGATCTGCTCACAGATGATAAACCCACCTTCCTATCCAGGCAACACGCCAGGTTGATAACCTGTCTCATCTTTCTATGGAATGGGAGTGCTCGTGTCCATCCTACAGGGCTGCTGTGATGACAGAGCAAGGGCCTGAAATTGCCCCCTTCCCTCTCCCCTTGGCACTTCCGGTTTCCTTTCCCCTTGGCACTTCCGGTTCCCTCCCCCCTGTACTTCCTGTTCCATTCCCCTCCCTTGGCACTTGCAGTTCCCTGTCCCCTCTGGGCACTTCCAGTATCCTCCCCTTCTTGGCACTTCTGATTCCCTCTCCCTCCTAGCACTTCCTGTTCTCCTCCCCCTCTAGGTAATTCCCCCCACAATACCTGGAGCTACACTGGTTTAATCATATTTTCATCCCTCTTTTCTTACTCCATCCACAGTACCCTGTATCTGTAGTTCATTAGCAACATTGAATCTGCTCTTTGCCTCTAGGAAATGGAGAACAAGGGAGACCATACCCCATGACTGACGCTGAGAGAGTGGACCAGGCGTACCGAGAAAATGGATTTAACATCTACGTCAGTGATAAGATCTCCCTGAATCGCTCTCTCCCTGATATTCGGCACCCAAAGTGAGTGTAACATCTCTCCGATTCTGGGATCTAAGGGTGCTGCCCCTGGCTCTTGTTGAGAATTAGCGAGAGAAGCGGGTCCATGACCTGCTGCCGGCAGAGGCTCCCTCCTGTGACACGGGGCCTTGTGCAGAGGTGCATGGTGTGGCGGGGCAGGGGTGATGCTGACCCTCCAGAAGGGCCTGCCTCCTCCCTCTTCTCAGTGATCTGGACAGGGTAGCCTCAGCCCTCCCCTTTCTCTCTGGCCCACTAGAAGTCCAGACCCCAATGCAGAGGGCCTTTGCGGGGACTATCTCAGCCCCCACTCTCTCCACTTTCTGTGTGGGAGGTTTTTATTTTATTTTATTTTATTTTTAAATCTTTATTTCAGCTGTCCTATACACCCATGTATTTGTCTTTGTCATAAACTACCTCAAATCATGTTGAAAGAGGACCTGTCATGGCGATTGTAGAGATGGCAGCAGTGGCAGGTGGCCCTGAAGGGGTAGTGTGTGCCAGGGGCTTCATTCGCAGCCTCTCAGGTTGCTGTGAGATAGGTCCTGTAATGATGCCCATTTTACAGATGAGAAAAACTGAGGCCCAAACAAGAGTCATAACTCACTCAAAGCCATAAGGTTCTAAGGAGCTGAGCCAGGTCTTAGACTCCAACCAAAACCACCCTCTGGACTGCAAGCTATCCTTTCTTCTTCTACGTGTTCAGTGAGGGTCAGCATGGTGGTGATGCTGATTTTCTAGCATATTTATCCTTTTTTTTATGCAACAAGTGTTTGTTGAGTGTCTTTGATGGTACCTAGAGAGTAATACAGGCATTGTTTTAGCTTTTAAGTGAATAGTGCTAGCACTTGTTCATATATATATATATGCACAATATATGTTGAATGTGTCAACAAGTTTTTTCTTTTTTATTAATTTATTTTTTTGTTTCTGATTATTTCAGCATATATCTCCTAAAAATAAGGTATTCTCCTACATAAGCATCATATCATTGGCAAATTAACAATATTCAGTCTATGTTCAAGTTTCTCCAGTTGTCCCCAGATCTTTTTTTTTTTGAGTTGTAGTCTCACTCTGTCGCCCAGACTGGAGTGCAGTGGCATGTTCCTGGCCACTGCAGCCTCGACCCACTGGGCTCTGGCGATCCTTCCGCCTCAGCCTTCCAAGTAGCCAAAACTACAGGCAGAAGCTACCACGCCCGACTAATTTTTGATTTATTGTAGAGACGAGGTCTCATCAAGTTGTCCAAGCAGGTCTTGAACACGCGGGTTCAGGCAATCCACTCGCCTTGGCCTCCCAAAGTGCTGGGATTACAGACTGAGCCACTGAGCCCAGCCCCAGATCTTTTTTAAATTTTATTTTAGAGTTATGGGATACATGTGAGGATTTACTACATAAGTAAATGTGTGTGCGGGTGAGGTTAGGGCTTCTAGCGGGCCCTCTATCCCCCGACAGTAGACCTGGCCCCCAGAATGTGGTTATGTCCCTTATTCTCCTCTCCTCCCCTCCTCTAGCGGTGTCCAGCATCTGTTGTTCCCACCTTTGTGCTCATGTGACCAGCGATCAGGCTCTGCTCATGAGTGGGAACATGCAAAGTTATTCAGTTTTTGGTTTCTGTGATGGTTCACTTAGTATGACAGTCTCCAGCTGCATCCATGTTGCCGCGAAGGCCGTGATGTTTTTCTTCTTGATGGTAGTAGAGCCGTTCTTAAACTTGATGTGCATTAGAATCACCTGGAGTGTTGCTGGAACACAAAATATTGAGTTCCCCAAGTTCCTGATTCAGTAGACCTGGGTGGGGGCCCAAGAATTTGCATTTCAGTCAGGCTCCCAGGTAATGCTGGTGCTGCTTATTTCGGGACCACACTTTGGGGATCACTGCAAGCAGGAACTTTCCAGATTGCTTCAATACGAAGCCAGTACTGAGTAGCCCCAGAGCATGAAGTGTTTTGCTCAGGGACTAAGAAATTAGAGTCCAGGAAATGATAAAAGCAAACGCTTATTTAGGTGCTTACTGCATGAGGCATTGTTTTAAGCTGGTGGTTCTCAAATGTGGTTCCTAGACCAGCAGTATCACCTTCACCTGGGAATTTGGTAGACATGCACATTCTCAGACCCCAGATTTACTGAATCAAAGCTATGAGGAAGGGTACAGCAATCAGTGTTTTAACAAGCCCTCCAGGCGATTCTGATGCGTGTTTTAGCTTGAGAACCACTGTTCTAGGCACTTTAAGTGCATTAACTCAGCAACCTTCTAAAACCATTATTATCACCACTTTGCAGATGAGGAATTGAGGCACAAAAAAGTAAAATAATTTGCAGAAGATAACACAGCTGGAAAGAGATGGAACCAGGTGAACCCAGGGAGTCTGGATTCTAGTATCCATGTTTATTGTTTTGAGATAAGATCCCACTGTTATCCAGTGCAGTGGCACAATCCCAGCTCACTGTAGCCTCAAATTATTGGGCTCAAGCAATCCTCTTGCCTCAGCCTCCCAAAGGGCTGGGATTACAGGTTTGAGCCACTGCATCTGGCCCATGTTCTGAATCCCTGAGCTATAAAGCCCAAAGAGCCATAAAGCTCTTTCCACCTGAAGAAACTCAATCAGGAGAATGCAGTGTGATGTGACTTCATCTTGGTAGCATCTTTGGTGGCTTACAAAATGCTGTCATCCCTGTTACGTCTTTTAGTTCCTGCGACAATACTTTAAGGTTGGCATTAATATCATCTTGTTTGTAGATGAGGAAACCACACAGCTGAGAATCCTCAGCTAAAAGATGTGCCGTCGGCCAGGCTTGGTGGCCCAGTTTGTAATCCAGCACTTTGGGAGGCCGAGGTGAGGGGATTGCCTGAGCCCACGGGTTCGAGACCATCCTGGACAACTTGGCGAGACCTCGTCTCCACAATAAATAAAGAATTAGCTGGGTGTGGTAGCGCATGCCTGTAGTTCTGGCTACTAGGAAGGCTGAGGCAGAAGGATCGCCAGAGCCCAGCCAGTCGACACTGGGGTGACCGTGAGCATGCTACTGCACTCCAGCCTGGGCGATGAAGTGAGACTCCAACTAAAAAAAAAAAAAAAAGATGCCCTGTCACCCAGGAGTGAGCCCTTATCTCAAGGATTTCTTGCAGTGAGGGCACAAAGTAGGGGCCTTGGTTACCCGCCCATGGGGCTTACTATTCATTTCGCAATCCTTTGCTGTCAAGCTACAGGTTTTTTGTTTGTTTTTTTAAATCTAAGCCCGAGACTGTAGTTCAGGTATCACAGATGTTACTAGATTCAAAACTGTGACCCAACTCTGAGGGTCAGAAACTCAATTTATGTATTTAGCCCCTTGCAGAGTTCAGAATTCTGCACTAATTTCATCTTTCTGGGTCCAGGAAGGAAATCTGTTTGGGGAGTTCATTCATTATTCACCAACCTCTTGTGGTCCAGCTGTTCTTGTGGTCTTGCGGGTTCTCAATCCTGGCTGCACTTGGGTGGTTTTTAAAAAATACCGAGGCCAGGGCCTCACCCCAGACCACTGGAATCTGAGTCTCTGAGGATGCCTCTAAAATCATCCAAAGCAATCCTCACATATAACTGGGCTGAGAATCACTAGTGTGAAATGAGGAATATTTTTGCAATGAGAGAGAGAGCCTAGGTGTGGTGACAGCTTCTGTTTATCAGTAAATGGTAAATATATATTAAGGGTCTTCTGTGTGCCGCGCCCTGTGTTCAACACCAGGAACACGACAATAAAGGAGCCATTATTGCTGCCTTAAAGGAACCCCTACTCTTGTGCAAGGGATGGGGATGGATGGTATGAACAGGTCCTCACGCCCTCATTGAGACTAATAATAGGGACAGACACAGGGTGCCTTGGGACCACAGGGATATCCCCAACCCTATGTCAGACTTTTGAGGGCTAGGAAGGCCTTTCTGAGGGTGCCATCTTCTACATCCTATAGGACCAGCCGGGGCTGGCCAGGTGACAGAGCAGGAGAGCCCTGTGGGAACGGGAAGGGAATATGGAGGAGAGGGAAGAGTGCTTGAGCAGAGGTCCTGGTTGGGGCAGCACACATTCTCTGGTTAAGAGGGGAGAAGCGGCACCAGGAGAGGGACCTGCCCTGTGTCTACCAGTACAGTACTCTTTCCTGACGGCACAGAAAAACCTAGGGGTCCTGGGTCCACGAATAAGTCCCTGGATATAATTCGGGGGGGTTGTAAACTTGGATGAGAGAAACATTGCAGTTTTCTTTTCACTAACCTTTAGCTGAAATGTGGTGTTCCCATCAGTTATGAATGTAGACAACAAAGCCCCGTGACATTGTCCCTCAAAAGGACAGTTGTCCCTATTGGCATATCACTTTATAGACCTCTTGAAATGGCACAGGCACTTGTCACTACTTTGAAATAAAGGTAATTTTTAGAACTACCACTAGGTCTTTTTCTTCTAAATATTTTTTAAAATTTTAATTATGGGTACACAATACATGTATATTTCTAAGGACTACACCAGTATTGTGTACCCATAATAAATACCCATGAATTGAAGGAATACATGTGGTATTTTGATATGGGCATACAATGCATAAAGACCAAATCAGGGTAATTGAGGTATCCGTCACCTCAAGGCTTTATCATTTCTTTTACCGCTAGATCTTACTGCTTTTTTGTTGTTGTTGAGATTAGGTCTCACTATGTTGCCCAGGTTGATCTCAAACTCCTGGTCTCAAGCGATCCTCCTGCCTCAGCCTCCTGAGTAGCTAGGATTATAGGCATGTACCACCATGCCCGGCTTTGAACAAACTTTGATAACTACATTTCATTCTAGTTGGTTTTCTTTGCAATCTGGCATATTTTATTTTATATGAGTTTCACTCTGAGAAGTATCCACAGGCTCCCCCAGTCTAGCAGAGGGCCCCTTGGCATCAATAAGGTGAAGGACCCTGTTCCAGGTGGGCGGGAATGGAGCCAAGCAGGCCTGGGGCCCTGTCACGGCTCACCCACCCAAGTCACTCCCTG